GTGGCTGTTTTAAAATTATGAATTAATGACATCTGACGTTTTTGTGAAGGAACCAAAATAGTCTGTTTCTGTACATCAACGTGCAACAGTGGCTGTTTTAAAATTATGAATTAATGACATTTGACGTTTTTGTGAAGGAACCAAAATAGACTGTTTTAAAATTATGAATTAATGACATCTTCGACTCCATTTTTCAAAGGAAGAATTTTGAGAAGTGCAAATTTTTAAAATGATAAATCGTGAAGTATCAATTTTAAAGGAAATATTTTGTAAAGTGCCCGATTTCTTGATAATATACGTGCAAGGTCGGCTTTTGCGATATTTGAGAATGGTCTGTTAAAGGAACAAAATTCTTCCTAAAATAACCTTTTACATTTTCTTTCCATCTCTTTTTTTAACTTCAAAGAAAATTATTTTCATAAAATAAAACTTAAAGTTAAAAAAATATTGTTATCATAAAAGAGCCTTAAAAAGCAGTCAATATGAATAAAGGATAAGGTAATAGAATGATTAAATAATGATTAATTAGCAATTTTAGTGATTGATAGAGGAAAACAATGAGCCAAGCACAGATAATGAATTTTCCAATTTCGCGATAATAAATCATGCTATAGACAGAGAACAGCGAATATTTAAGTGAAGATACACAGCAGTTACTATGATTGATATCGATTAAGCCTAAAAATATGTCAATGCAATTGAAGAATAACTAATTTTCCATTTGTAGAGAACTGCTAGCAATAAAACATTAATTAATCATTAAAATTCGAAATGGGATTAAAATAAACCATTATTTACAAGCTTTTCATGACTGATTTATTTAAATTTACAGACATCATGCATAACATTAAGAATTGATAAAAGCAACATGAAAAAAAAAAAATTTAAATTCCCCAAACCATTTTAGTTCAGTTCATTTTAGTATTTTTTTTTAGTTTCAAAAAATACTAAAATAAATGAATGGTCAATTTTTAGGAGCTAGCAACAGCTACTTATTAATAAGTCAGTATAATTTTTAGGCGCAATGGCGACAGGGCTTAATGAATTAGCAGAACCTTCCATACATAATCTGCTGATTAAAATGTAAACAAAAACATTCTTTGTCGAAGTATTTTTTATAAAGTTTTCTAATTAAACATTTACAAAGATCAGTTAAACGCTTAGAGGTTTAGGACGTGCAAGTCTAACTCGACTAGGAGGTCAAAATAAAGTACTGTTGATCACACTAATGGGCAAATTGAGAAGAAAACTATTGAAGACTTACTTTAAATATATTTTAAATTTTTTGAAAACGTTTTTTCAAACTGATCTATCAAAAATTGATCAAATTTTTTTATTTTGCTTTAAAATTTTTTCCCATGACCATTAATGGGAGATTTGACACTCAATATTTTTTTATTAAATTTAAATATTTATTTAGTGATGAGCACTAGATTGAAGAATGTTATCAAGCAAAATCACATGTTGTTTCCACACATTTCGAATTTGTAGGTAAATTCAAGAGAAAATAAAATGTCAGCTTCATCCAGAAAAGTATTTATTTATTTTGTAAGTTTCTCTCCCCTGTGTCAATTCAAGTTTGTGTACTAAGATCAATATACTAAAAGACAATATATTTATTGTTCACTGTTAATGTGTTTCTTTTTTAGTATTTTTACAAACTTTCTTCCAAGGGAGGTTTGACTCATTGTACCAGATCAAGGATATTGACATATCGTCGCTTTGAAACTAAGCCGCTGTAACTCAAAAAAGTCGAAAAATGAGATTTTTGGGTCATTTTGTGTAAAAAAAGTCACCCTTTTAGAAAAACAACCTGTTATTTTTATAGTTCCATAAAGTTAATTTAGAGAGCAGATAAATCGTCATCGCATTGCCGCGATTAGCATTAGCGCGGTAAGTTTGAAATCGCTCTCCTGAAAAACTTGCTTTTTTGAGTTACCACGGTTTAGTTTCAAAGCGACGATATATCCCAGTTTAATAGGAAATCGAGAAAAAGCAGATTTTTGAAAAAAATAAAGAAACGTCACAAATTCAGAAAACGACAGACAAATAAAAAACAAAAATGCGAATAATAGAATTCAATTCAGTTTAATGATTCAAAATAAATTCATTCAACAATAGTAACCCAGATTTGGTACTTCCTTGCACAAAATTATTGCAAGCAACATATTTTTAGACATTTAATTATTGCGGTATAGCTTTTAATAATTGTCATAATGCAAACTTGGAAATTGTTAACTGTTAAATTAGTCAATCTATTTTTAACGTATTTTTGTAAAATTTTCCTTTGTATCGGTAAGTTTATCTTTTCTTCTTATTCTTTGTTTCGAAATGCCTATGTCGTAAAGTAATGCGTTCTGAGGAGGACCTTCACGTTTATTCTTTTAGAGTTTTGAGGGACCGACCATAAATTACAAACGGTAAATAGCGTTTTTGAACATTCTAATATACATAAATATAGCATCAAGTTTGTAACTTGTCACAATTACTTTTGTTATTATATTCAATAATTGCACAAAATTTCGTAAATCTGGTTGAAATATTTATGGAGATATGGATGTTTTTATGCTATAACTTTCTTATGTAGAGAATCGTACTTGGCGTATAATAAAAAGTCCGACTTGAATATCTTAAAAATGCGCAGTTTTAAGCAATTTCCCCTCAATTTTAAAGCAATAAGTTTGCTATTAATTTTAAATAGCTCCAAAAATTTTGTTCAATTTTATTGAATATTTTAAAGTTATAGCAAAAAAAAATTTTTTTTTTTTATAAAAATGTCCTCATTTCCATAAATATTTAAGTTAAGTTTACGAAATTTTGTGCAACTATCGTAAACCAAAATAATCAATTAAACAAAATAATTGATACAAGTTACAAATTTATTGCTACATTTTTGGGCATAGGGTGTTCAAAAACACTATTGTCCGTTAGTAATTTATTGTCGGTCCCTCAAAGCTCTTTTGATAAGTATGAGAAATCGTATAACCTAAACAATTTTAAATTTATAAAATGGTTCTTTATGTATCAAAGTATGTTATAGAAGTGCTTCCATTATATTGTCCAGTAGTCCGACCCTGTATATATATATATATATATATATATATATTAATCTAAATCTGACTGTAACTGAAAAATCTTTAAAAAAGTAAGAAGGAATTAAAAAGAAATAACAATAGTAATGTAGATAGGAATTGTTTTAAATTTCATTTCATTACTTATTTATTCATTTTTCTCAAAAAAGATTAGGAGGTTTTTCTCTGCCTAGAGCTTTTAAATACTTAATAAGAGCATGCTTCAAACTAATTTTAGCTCCAACAGTTCCAAATTATTTTAGGAGAATCGAGAATATTAGTTATTTTGGTAATTATTTTTTAATTTCACGAACCATGAACTAAAAAAGATTTCTGTATCTTTCACAATTTATCTTCATGGTAAATTAAGTTTCACATTTTTTCCTGTTCCACCAACTAATTTTGTTAATTATCATTAAGAAAGTAAAGAACACCACTTATTACTGGCGCCGTGTAATAAAATAAACTTTTTAAAACACTAAGTGGTAGTCTTGAGTTTGTTGATTTGATTTTAGTAATATCAGACTTGTGGTTCTTTAAGATGAGTTTTTAATTTGTTATTTAATTGAGTACCTCAAAAGTTTTTCTTTCTAGGAAAATTTAAGACTGTGGTTGAATACAGATGACTATGGAGACACTTAAGAAAAATAATAGCAATTTCTTGGTGGCAGAAAAATAATAGCTAATATTGAGCTTGGAATGCAATAAGAAATAAATGTATTTCTTTAAGTAGGATCTTATTTAAAAGCATTAAATAAATGATAATGATAACTTTTATCTTGCGAAACTTTTGAATGCACTTCATTTTCTTGTAAAACATACTTTTTTCATTGAAAATCTCCCTAAAATTGGGCCGAATAAATTAATACTCTTCACAACCATACTATACTGAGAAAAAAAGAATGGTCAAAACTATCAAAATAGGTACAGTGTTTCCAGCTCTACGGAAAAGCTCGGTAACTTTTATTGAAGCTCTTTGGTAAGTATTTAGGTAAAATTAGCAAGAAAATATAGTTTTTAATCTGTGATAAAATTTGGTAAATATCGCAAAATCTGGTAGTTTTATAATGATATATTAGAGCAGTGAATAAAAAACCATTTATTCGAATAAAGCTACCTTTCGGTTTTGTATTTTTCAATAAATGTGTGATAATTAAAACTACAATTTTTAGAACTATAATTTCCGGTAAACCGTAATCAAATGAGCGGAAAAGAATACCAAAAGGAATGGTTTAAATAGCGTATATTTTAGTTTTTTTCTCAGATTTTTTTAGAAATGTCATTACTATACAGTACAGTAATTTTACCAGAATTTCTTTTCTCCATGTATGCATGTTTTTAAACTTAGAACGTTGTGTGTTTTTAAAATGGTATTTCTTTTTTTTCTTCTAAATGTCTTCCTTATTTTCCCGTTTCTTCCTTCTAAAATCTTTTTAATTATTTCACAATAATTAGTCTCTTTGCTTATAATATATTAAAACTATAACTTTTAAATGAAAACAAAATTTAATTCAATTAGAAAACTAAAGTAATGCACTTTCAGAAATATAACTACAGATTTTGCATTACTTGAGCTATATTTTGCCATTTTTTATCATCAGATCATTTCGAAATCTTCTGATTTTTGATGAAACACGAACTCTCAAATATTTGACGAAATTACTACTAATTTTTCAAAATTTTTTTAAAAACATCCTGAGTTAAAACCTGTTTACAGCTTATGACGGGATATATATCACTCATATAAAGTAGATTATAGTCACTCAAAATTAAATTTACGAAAAAGGTCTAAAATTAACCTGCGTCTAAAATTTTTCATTCTAACTACAGTAATATGAATGAAATTTAGTTCATAAAAATCCTATTCAAATTTGGAAGTCTATTGCTTTACAATTCATAACAAATTCAAATAAAATCTAAAAGAAGTACCTTGCTGGCTTGAAGGCCTGACAAGCTTTGGCTTCTTTGATGTGCAACAAGTGATGACTTAAGTGTATTGGCAATGTCATTGACATTGGAAGGTAAACTGCTCCCAACATGATCTATCTGATTAGCGGTGATAGAATCATCACCTGTCCCTCCACTTTCTGATGTTGGCGTCTGGGACGGGACAGGAGGAGTTGGGACGCTGCGGCTGCTGCAGGGGGACGCGCTAGCAGACGTAACAGGTGTGGAAGCACTACCGTTCGTCTGCTGCTGGGCTTTCTGCTGGGCTGCTTGCCGTGTGGCTTCCTTCACCTCCTGGAACTTCTCAATAAACTAAAAAGAAAAAAAAAAGAGAACTTTTTAATTGCTAAAAATTATATTTTCACTGCAAAATCGAAATTATTGATTTTATCGATAAAGTTTTATAAAAATATTTTTCGATCAAAAATATTATTTCAAAAGTGATAAATATTATTTTAAAATTATACAATTCACTATTTTTTTAGACTTAATAAGAATTTCAAGTTCCTAATGAATATAATATTATGAATTTAAGGGTAAAACTCTTTACTGGTAAACTATGAGTGTTTTAAAAACAATATTAATAATATCAAGAAGATATTAAAATATCTTCATTTTTGAGATTTTTCGAAAGTTTTTTACTTAACTTAGAGACTTAAGTTTCTTAATATATAGAATAAACTACGATGATATAGTGAATAAGATTCTAAGGTGCTATTGTGAATTACCGAGGTACAATTTTCTTATCTGGCAGCCTTTAACGACCCGCTCTCCTGTTTGGCGTTTTCTTAGATTTTAAAAGAAATAAAAGCTGGCCTTATTATTGAGACCAAAACAACGGCCAAGAAGAATATCCCCAAAAAGAGAGCCAGTCGTTAAAGGCCGCTGGATTGTAAATTAGTGACCGGCGAGGGTGAGTCCTATCCTCCATAGTCTGAAGTCAAGTCAGCTTTAAATCAATGCTAAGGAGGACAAAGCGCAATTCTGACTACATTGCCACCATCCTGTTCGAGTCTTAACCTCCAGGAACCCCTTGGTCGACAATTGTGATAGATTGGATGTGAACTAATAAACATACCTAACAAAGAATAACATTAAAAAGGAACTCATAGGCCTAGTTTCCAGCACATTATACTTTATATGCTTTTAACACACTTGAGCCTACACTGTAAAAAATTTCGTATCAAATTACGGTATAAAGTACCGGTACTTTGGGCGCATCACTTAAAAAATCTATTTTTACCATAAAATATCATTCCGTAATTATTATAGTAATATTTACTTAATTGGTAATTCAGTGATTTTACGGTAATTATTAATATAAAAATTAAGGCATATCAGATTTTTTTGTTTCGTAACATGTTCCAGTAAAAATCGATCTTACGGTATACGGTTATTTTTGGTATCTCAATTTGTATAAAAACATTTGAAGATTATTTTAAACTTTCTAGCATATTTGTACCACTATTTAACTATATTTCAGAGACTACTATTTGTTCCTAAATATTTAAAACAATTTATCTTCCATAAAAATAAAATCCTGTCACCAACTTTTTATAAATCCTTTTTGTAACATTTCCAATCAAACACACGTTTTTATGACATCAGATAACTCCAAATCTAACAGAATTATAAGTTTTATATTAAAATTTATTTAATTGTAATTTTATTCATAATAAAAAAATAATTTTGTAATTTTTATTGGTTGTAAAAAAGAATAAAATCAAGAGAAAAGAAGTCTTTAATAAAACTGAAAAAAAAAAAGTTGCTAACCAAAGTAATTATTGAATTAAGCCAATATTGTACTTTTAAATGAATGAATGACTGTACCTTTAAATTAAAATAGATATGTATAGCCTATATTTACTTCAAAGCAATTATTCATTTGCTCTGAACACGACTAAGGATTCAAAAGTATTCAACGAAGAAAGGGTTCAATAACTAATTAAATAAATTTCCGTTTTATCATTCAAATTAATTAATAAGTCTATTAAGATCGAACCGAGAGAAAATTATGATATCGAACGAAATGCCCTGGCTCTGATAGAGATTTTTAAATGGTAAAATTTTGAAAGGAATACTTATCGTTCAAGTACGTAATCGTAGATTCGATATTATAAAAGCATTTGAATATTTTCAAATATAAAAAGGACAAGAAATAAGCGTAATCATATTCAAAGCTTTAAATGAAGTTAATTAAAGGTTTAATCTTCGAATTGGTATTTTGGATTTTATATTAGAAGATATATTAAATAGTGAATTTTCAAAGATTTTTCTCCGTTTATTTTAAAAACTTTAAACAATAAATAGTGTTTATTTATGATTAAAAGGAAACTATTCAGCTGCAAACAATTTTTTTTCTAGTTAGTTGGTACTCTTGACTACAAAATAAAATAAAATTTTTAGAAACAATACAAAAAATGATGTTTTTTTTTAAAAAAAAATTCGCTAATTTGGTAGAAATTGAGAAATCTAAGGCGCTAGTCATTATAGTCTAACAAAAATGATTTTTAGGTAATTCTTCACGAATCAACAATATTTCTTAAATTTTGGTCAACTAAAAGTACATATTTAAGGGAATTCTGTGTGACTACAGGATATGGCTTAAATAGATCAAATTATTTTCCAACAAAGAAACAGAAAATTAATATATTATATACGCGTCCTAGAAAAAACATATTTACAATAAAAATAAGTTTATAATTCCTCAAGGTAATACTAAAAGCATGCTGTAACACGCTTAAGTGACATAAAGATATAAAAAGAATGAAATTCCCGCTTTGAAAATTAATTTAAGTCACTTATTTTATTAGTCAGATAGTCAGAATATTCAATAAAAAATCTATTTGTTTTTAAATCCTCAAAACAATAATAACTACACTGTAAAAATTAGACACTCAAAATCCCAAATTTTTCTTCACTTTTGACGAAATTGTTTGCTTGGAAACGTGTCGACCAAATAATTTGGCAAATTTGAGCAGATTTCGAATTTCACATGTTTGTGGATACGGGTTTTGTCAACAGAATTCGGCATTTTGAGCTAGCAATAATGCAGGATAAACAAAAGGCAAATCATCCTAACAATTCCTTTAAAACTTAAATGATAAAAGATCGCAGTATCCGTTTGTTTATTAGTAGTAGTATGTAAGAAAATACTACAAAAGATAGTTTCAAAGTTATTTTATTTCTTTGGAAAAGCTATATTGTTTGTTATCACTACTTCTAACTTCAAAAAGCATGACAAATCATTTTAATCGCTTTGTTCTTTTTTTCACTTTAATGATTAAATGATTTATTTCATTTTTGAAAAAAATTAAATTAATGAAATCGTTAATCATTTGATTTAAATCATTGAAACTTTTCCTTAAATATTTGCATTTTACTACATGTATTAGGGTAGGTAGAAATAAATGTATGATAAAGGTAGAGAACATAAAAATTCCTTTAAATGCACAGCAACGAAATTATAATATAAATTTCATTTATGTTAAAAAATATAATGCATTGAGGAAATAGAAAGGCTTGGAATAAAATATGAACCACAAAAGGTTTCGAACTATATAGGTGCAAAGCCGATACTTTTTGATCGATGTAAAAATCGATCGCAATACGTGTCGTGTGGGAACTACATTCTGCTGTATGTCTGCACATAAAATTCTTCTTCCAGACTGATATATGACGTGTTATTCTCTTTCACTAAATATACATACATACCTTGTTAAAAATAAAGACAACATTACTATTTGAGCAAGGGAAAAACAAAAACAAAATTGAAATCTGACAAAAACTATTTCGTCTTATTTTAAAATTGGCATTGGACAGTCGCTGAAGTTTACGGCTATCAATGTTTAATTCCGTAACCTTGTAATTTTGAATCCAAAAGAAATATTGGATCAAGAATTGGGACAAACTAGCCTTCGTTGAGGACTTTTTAATAAACCAACCTCCAATATCCTACCTCGCAATAAGATTTAAAGTTTCAAAGGTATGGGAGATCGATAATAAATTACGAAAGAAAACAAGTATTTTTGAACACCCTATGCAAATAATCATGCAATACGCTTGTAACTTGTATCAATTAATTTAGTTATTATTTTTAACAACTGCATAAAATTTCGCAAACTTAAAATATTAATCGAAATATGGACATTTTCATAAAAAAATAATTTTCTCGCATTACGTTTTTTTACTATAACTTTATAAAAATTAAATGAAACTAAACAGAAGTTTTGGAGCAATTTAAAATTTATAACAAAATTATTGACTTAAAATTTTAAAACAAATCGTTAAAAACTACGCAAGATTTGTATTTTAAGTTTGTTCTCTTACACTGCGCATGCACAGAAAAAAATTAAAAAGTTTTTTTCTATAATTCGTCCGGAAATATATATATA